AAGAGGTGGAACTCAGAGTTGACCACCCTGTCCTGGCAACCTCCCTCGCTGGTCCCTTTCTCTTTTCCTAAGTCCTCAACTTAGGCTGCATTTATTTATTTACTGAGACCGAGTGCTCCCTGCGGTGCTCAGGCACTGTTCCTTGCTCTGTGCTCAGGGGTCTTATTCGATGCTGGGGATTGAATTGGGTCTTTGGCATGTGGGGCAGCGTCTTGCCCCTTCCTATCTCCCCAGCCCCTCTGGTTGCATTTCTTTAAAGGCCTCCGGTCTGAGAAACGAGGCTCTGAGGTTGGCGGGGTCTCTCCCAGGAGCCCAGAAGGCCTTGGTGTGAACCAAACTCTCGATTTCTGGAAGGAGCTTGCTGGTTTGTCCACTTTTGAGGAACCCAGAGGGCTACAGGATGGTTTTCCTTGTCTGTGGGCATTGTGTAAGGTCAGTCCAGGGGTGCTGACACACTGCACCCTGGGTTATTTCTCCTCTGGAAAGGCAGAGAAAGGCTAAATTGGCCAGATGAGCCTCCTGCTGTCCCTTCAGCCCTCCCGGACCAGATGCTCAATCTCCCCCTCAGAGTCCCTCTTGGCTGCTCCTGACCCGCCCCCGGCAACCCCTGACTTCCCCACCAATTGTTTTCAAGCAAAGGGCAAGGTGGAGCTTTAATATGATCCTGGGTGGGATCAGCTGACTCAGCAGGAAAAAAGGGAGAGGAACATGGACGGGCAGGCTGGGCTCCGGCTCCTTGGGGGTCCCCACATCCACCCCCCCTTCCCGCTCCCACCCACTTCAGGGTTTCATTCCCTTCTCTCAAGGGCAGAAACCACTGCATTTCTGGGAACACACACACACACACACACACACACACACCCCCAAATAAATCATCCAAACTCAATCACTCCACAAACAAAACCAAACCCCACCCTGACGCTCTGGGTGGTCAGGAGGCTGTCTGAGGTCATGGGGCTGATGACCGGAAGTGAGGGTGCCTGATGCCAGTGTGGCTCTTACTAGGCTTCCTGCTGACCCTGAAATCTGGTCCCGTGGATCCCATGAACAATGGGGGCGGGACCCAGTCTCTGGAGCCCGTGGGAATAGTGTCTGCAAACGCCACACCCAGGAATGTGGAAAAAATCAAACCACTTCAACCACACTGCTTAGGGATCCAGGTCTCTTCGCTGAGTACTGCCTGGACCCAGGGAGCCACAGCTAAGGAGGACCCAGAGGCTAGTGCCTGCTGTGTGGCAGTTCTGATCTTGGTTTGGAGGACGCTCCCAGGCAGTGCTTGGAGTCTCTGCACTGCTCAGAGCAATAATGGATTCAACTGTCTTAGGCGATATGATGTTACTTAGAGCCAGTGCCCAGCTGGAACAACAGCACAGTGGGTGATGGAGTGTGCCTTGCACGTGGCCAAGCCGGCTTCAGTCCCCAGCAGCGTTATGTCCCCCTGAGCACCACCAGGAGTGAGCCTCCCTCCCCCACCCCCAAAACCCAGAAGAACTCAGAATCTCCAGGGTCCTATCTGGTGGTGTTGGGGACCTGTGGGGCCACCTACATGCTGATGGGGCATGAGGTGCTGGGGATTGATCCTTTCTGCTTCTGTCCAGCTCTGGGCTACGGCAGGAGCAAGAGTGTGCGGAGGAGAGAGGTCTGAAGGTGCCCAGGTTCTTGCTGCCTGAGCCGAGGTTTTAGTCTAAAGCCTCCGTGGGAATTTCTAGCAGCTGCCATGTTGTCTGTTACCCAGGACGAAAGGAAACCGAGATTTCAGTCAAGTCAGGCCTGGAAGATGCAGATGGGCTGCCCTGGGGCTTTGGGCGGGGCCCCTGCAGGTGGCAGAGCAGAAGCAGGGGAGCAGGAGGAACTGGGGGTGGGGGTGAGATCCCAGAAGTGACACCCCCATTTCTTGAAGGCATGGCAAGATGCATTCCAGTCTGGCTGGGTACTGGAGGAATGATGGCAGTCAAAAGCTTCAGAGAAAACTGGCCAGTGCTTCCTCCTCCAGCTCTAAAAAGAATGAGGCTCATAGGCTACCCACGAGGGCAGCGCCATCCACCTGGCTCCACACACAACTCGAGGCCCTTCCACCGAAGGGAGAAACACTTCAGGTGCTTTTTGATGGCTAAGCAAAAGATAAGGAACTAGCTTTCCTCTTTGAGGCTGCGGAACCATCAAATAGAAGCCAGTTCTCAGTCCCTAGGGATGTAGAATGGGAGTTTTGGTGGGTATCCAGCACTAAAGGTGCTCATTCCAGAGGAGAAAGCCTGCTGGCTTCTTCCCTTTAGGGCCAGCTTCCTCACCATCCCCTTCAGCACCCATCATTCTGTCTGCTTTGAACAGAACCTTGTCAACAGGTTATGCAAGAATCACCTGAGAGACACCTTTAAAAAAAGCACTTGGTCCTGGAGGGGTTGAATTCTGATCCTAATTTGTGTTTCCCCCAAGGGAGCCCTAGGGTGGAAGGTCCTGGGTCCCCCGAGGGTCTGAAGCCAGGAGCCTGAGTTCTCTCTCTCTCTCTCTCTCTCTCTCACACACACACACACACACACACACACACACACTGCTGTGGCTTTCAGCCTTCTAGAAAATCTAGAGTTTCTGTCCTCCTTGGCTTGGACTGTCACTGGAGTGCGTCCTTTGGCTTGTAAAGAATGCTGTCTTTCAAAACAAACTGGCCGAACCAGGAACTGTTGGTGTATGCCATGTCCGTTGCACCTGGTGGTGGGAGCTGGTCTTTTTGTGTTTCTAGCTGGGGAGCCCCGCGGGCTTGGGCCACACCATGGAGCCCCCACATGAACCTCTGCACAAGGGCCTTGTTTGGTTTTGACTTGGCGTGTCCTTTGCGGTATGAGTTTCAGTGGCAGGTCCATGAAATTCTAGAAGTATCTGCGGATGTGTCCGAGGGTAAGTTCAGCAGAGTTGTTCTACAGGGTTCGAGAAGGAAGGGGGACTCGGGGTTGGGGGCAGTCTACCTGAAAGTGTTTTCCCAACCCAACAGTCCTCCAACTCCATGTCCACTTCTGGCAGGGGCTGCCAAGCCCAGGCCTGGGCCCATCTTGGTGGTGGCCGGCAACTTGCAAGGGGGTTCTGACTTCTTCAGTCCTGCACCCCCACCCCTCCAGTTGGCAGGCTTGGACCCCCATCCTGCCTGGGCAGATGATCTGGTGCACAGAGCCTCACCCACACCTTCTGGTCACTCAGTAGTGGTCATGCCACAAGTGCTACCTGCGAGGTGCTTAGACTAGACTCCTGGCAGGAACCCACCTTGGAGCCCCTTGGCAGAGGCAAGCTGCAGGAGACCCTCTGTGGTTGACTTGTCATGGCCTGGAATGTGGGACAGCTACTTCAGAATCTTCTAGGCTGCTGGTAGGAAATCCTGCTTCTCTCCCATGCAGGACTCAAACCCAAACTGTTGCGTCTGGAAGTTGACATTTTTTTGAATGGGAAGGTGGAGTTAGGCCAAATCCAGCAGTGCTCAGGGCTTCCTCCTGCCTCAACGCTCAGGACTTGAGGGACCATGTGTGGGGATTGAACCCATAAATGTATGAGCTGAGAGGCTCTTATGCCCCGATGCCTGCTCTGCTGGACTTCTGAGCACTGTCCCCCACCAAAAGCCCTAGCAAAGACAGGTGTGCCTGGCCTCTGCACAAAGGCATCAGAGGGGCCCAGGGCAGGGCGGAGGTATGGGTGTGAGGTGAGGAGGTCAGTCTAGGAAGTTCCCTGAGACCAGAAGGCAAAAAGAGGAGTAGATAGGTCAAAGTGACTGTGAACGGTTAGGGCACTTGCCTTGCATGTGATCAACCCTAGTTTGATCCCATATGGTTCCCTGAGCATTGCCAAGAGTAATTCCTGAGTGCAGAGGCAGGAGTGACCCCTGAGCATCGCCGGATGTGGCCCACAAATAATCAACAACAACAAAAGAAAATGAGGAGCAGAAAAAAGCCACAGGTGAAACCACTAGGGGCTGGAACGATAGTACAGCAGGGAGGGCATTTGCCTTGCAGGAGGCTGACCGGGGTTCGAGCCTGGCATCTTGTATGGTTCCCCGAGTCTACCAGGAGTTATTCCTGAGTGCAGAGCCAGGAGTAACCCCTGAGCACCACCAGTGTGGCCCCAAAGCCAAACTATAAAATAAAAAAACCCAAAACAAAACTACAGGTGAAAGCACTTAACAAACTCTTCTTTTTTAATTTCCACCTGAAATCAAGGCAGGGTACAGAAGTAGGGGAGAGGCCACCTCTCGGCTCTGCCGATACTCGCGGCCCGCAAAGAAAGGGGGGTCAGTGGAGAAACAGGTGTGGTCACAGGAGGAATAGCCACTGAACTGCCGGAGAAAGCCACCGAGGTGTGTCCCTGTCCATGTGGCCCGTGTGTGCCTGACTCTCGGCCCAGGCCTGGGGCTACTCTGGATGGTTCTGCTACATATCCGTGTTGGACGATTCTGGCGTGATCCTTAGCCAGGCACTCTGCGCTCTTCCTCATTCCAGACGTCCGTCTGTCCGTCGTCCTCCTGCCTCCTCTGCTTCCCTGGGCTGGACTGGTGACATGGGCATGGGACCCCCTCCCTGGCACCGGCTCAGGGTACAGTAGGTGCAGCCCCAGTCCTGCCACCAGGATTCTGGAAAATTCTCCCAACGGCAAGGGGGTCCTGCAGGTGGGGTGGCACCTCTGCTTCCCTCTCCAGGCCTGACCTGGTCAGGCGATGGTTCTGTCCACGCTGGCCAGGAATCCAGGGAAGGCAAGGTCGAACGGGGCATACCATGCCCTCAAAACCCAAGGGAAGCATGTGGGCTGTGGGATCCCACAGTCCTCTCCAGTCCCCCGAACTCCCCCACACTGACACAGGACATTCAGCCTGCACCTGCATGTCTCTCCTCCCCCCCCTCACACCTGCCCTCTCACATTCCCTCCTTCCTTCCCTCCCTCTATCCCTCCATCCATCCCTCTCTCCTGCTCTCTCCTGCTCTCTTCCTCCCTTCCTTTCTCCCCCCCTCCCCCCGCCCAACACTCTCTCTCCTCTCTCTCAGCCACAGGCCAGGTGCTCTGGCTCCTCTGGCTCCTTCTCCCTCGTGCAGCCGTTGGTACCAGGCAACCAGCAGAGACGGGAGGTGACCCAGCTCTGGGTCGAAACACAGCGGGGGTGAGCCTGGGCTCCCCAGCCCTGGGCTGCACCCCCTGCCACGGCACTGCAGGAGCATGGCTGTCACTTGCCACACTCAGAAATGCACCTTCTTCAACCTCTGCTGCCTGTATGCAGCCTCCCGGTGAGAAGGGCTGGAGAGAGGCAGAACAGAACATTCTAGAACGCACTCTCCTCACTGTGGGAGCAACCAGACAGCCTCAGGCAGGAGCAGCCTGGCCTGGAGAACATGCCTGGACTCAGGCTTGCTCCTTCCCCCCACTGTCATCACGGCGATGGCCCTCCAGAGCTTCCCTACCCTGGGGTTGGCCCCTACCTCGGCCCTAGTCCATGGACAGCTGCTTCCAGCAGACCAACACAGTGTCTAGAGCCACGACGGAGAGGTCAGTAGCGGCCAGGGCAGCCTGCCCACAGCACGGATCCACCACGACAGAGAAAGGCATCATTTGGCTTATTCCAAGAAAATTGGGGGTTTGAGGACAAGAGAGAAAATGTTTCTGGCTTCGTGCCTCCCAGAGCTGAGGCCCCAGCCCTGCAGCGGCACCGGCCCCCACCGCTCCCACTAGCGGACGAAGGATACCACGCTGGTGGCCACGCCGAAGGGGGCCGAGTAGGCAGCAGCAAAGCCCTGCAGGCCAAGGACCACATAGCGGCAGCCTTTGCTGATGACCTTCCCGAAGTTCTGTCCAGAGAAAGAAAAGAAAAAGCGAAGGATTAGTCACGTGGTGATGACACACAGACACACACATACAGAGACACATTTACGCACACATAAACAGACGCTTGTACACACAGATACACACACAGACACAGTCACATAAACACACATAATCAGAGATACTACACAGACACACATAGTCACACACAGGCAAATAAACACATAAATAGAGATACTAATACACAAACACACACAGACACACAAGCACATATGCACACATAAACAAAGATACACTCCCACATATAAACACACATTTACACATCACAGACACACACAGGCATATATACACAAACAGGCATTCATACACTCAAGCATATGTGTACACACAAACAGACACACACGAAAACACAGAGACACAATGCACAGATACACAGACACACACCCACAGACACATGCACACATACAGATATACACATAGTGAGACAGACACACAGAGAAACATGTAAGAGACACACACATAGAGACACAGAAGCACTCATACACGTGGATAAACGCAAGCACACATATAGACATACAGAGCCACAGCCATACACAGAGACACAGACAGACACAGACACACATGCAGGCATCCTCAAAGGGGCTCAGCAGGGCCCTACAGGGGGAGCCTCTGGCCTTCCTGGGGGCGGGGGTGGGGGTCTAGCAAGCTGCCGCCTCGGGTCATACCTGCCCCCATTTTCTTTCTTTGCCCACAGTCCCTTAGGTGGTCTCATTCACTTCTGGGACAGTCACCGCAGCCAGGCACCACACCCCGCCACCATGGGGCCATGTCCACAGCACTAGGGTAGCCTGGACACGTGGGCTAGGCCCTTTCACTCAGCTGCAACCACTGTCCACCAGCGGAACCAGCACCCCTCGAGTTCCCAGAACTGTCCCGACACTTCCGGTTGCTGTTTCCTCTGAGTCAGCCCCTTCCCGACCCTTCACTCTATAAGAGGGTCAGCCTGGGGGATCTCAGGGCTCCCCTCACTGCCCAGCCCAGAGCCCTGACTGGAGTGGATTATGGTGTGTCCCTGGGGTGCGGGGCTCTGGGGTGGCCACGGAGAGGAAGCCGGGGCTGCTGGCCATCTCCAGGGTCCTACAGCTGCGATGAGAGAACGGAAGTCTAGCTCCCAAGGAACCCTCGTGGGGCTCAGATGGCGATGCCATGCCTGGCTATGCCGAGCTCTGGGCTCCGTCCCTGGGTCACATGGCACCCTGACACGACTGGGTTTACGACCCGGCCCCGGGCCCCTGAGACCCTGCCCCAGGTCTCGTCTCAGGCCCGGTGCCCCCACCTCAGGGTCCTGCTTTTCCTCCATTTCTCTAGTCTGACTTCCTCTTGAACAGATAAGGACTCTTAAGCCAGCACATTTTTGAGGATGTCAAATGGATTAATGAGTTTCTGCCGGCAGAATATTTTCGAGGGGGCTTTCCCCAAGGGCAGGAGCTCCCCCTCTCCCCACTGTCACTGTTCTGTTTGCTCTCATCACTGCTCTTGCTGTAAAGAGCCAGTCAGACCTGTGATGCAGGGGTGGAAACTACACCTTTCTCCTGCTGATCTGCAGCCAGACCTCTGGTTTTGGGGTGTAGCTGATGGTAGACATCCAAGGACACCTGAGGAGCCGTAACCTCAGCTTCTCTACATCCCTGACACCACCCGGCCCATCTCACCAGGGGTGTGTGTGTGCGCGTGTGTGTGCACGTGCGCATGTGTGTGCGTTTGTGTGCCTGTGCGTGTCTGTGTGTGCACGTGCGCATGTGTGTGCGTGTATGTGTGTGTGTAGGGGGTCGAGGTTGCTAAGAGACACCGGAGAACCCAACTCCCCTGTCTGAAATCTTAACAAAACTCAGGAGCAAGTGCAGAACTGCCCCAAGCTTGCTCCAGCCGGCAGCAAACCAACACCTTCCACACTCATTTCCTGCCATTTAATCAGACTGCCTGGCCAGAGCCCTGAGCCCAGGGTGGACCCCCAAGTAGGGGTGGGGGGGGCAACTAAAATAGCTCATGCTCTGGAGCAGAATTGAGAGCTGGGGTGGAAGGAACGCCAGCCCCTCCCTGCATTACCGAGCAGACCCTCAGACGGCCAGCCGGCACAGGCCCCGCTCTGCCCTGTGCATGCTTTCCTGCCTCAAACCTGGCACTGGAGGCAGCACCCTGCGGCCTGTCTCTGCCCCCTGCCCAGGTGCCTGCAATTTGCAGCTTCTCTCTGCTTGGAAGAACGTAGCTGAAGGGGGTGGTGGGTGGGGGCGGGGGAAGGCCAGGTGCATGGTTATCTGCAAACATCCTCTAGAATCTTCTCTCTCTCTCTCTCTCTCTCTCTCTCTCTCTCTCTCTCTCTCTCTCTCTCTCTCTCTCTCTCTCTCTCTCTCTCTCTCCCACCCTCAATGGCTGCAGGCCCCAAGCACAGGTTTATGCCATTTCCTCTCTTCTGTGGAACCTGGGGCCAGCAGCAGCCCAGGTGCTGCTGCCTCAGGCATGACGGAGAATGACGGAGAATGAATGTCCCTTTTGCTAGTCAAGCTGGGGATGTTTTCTTGAGTAGTGCAGCTTTAGAAGCAGCTGGGAGTGGGGGGTTTCCCTGCACAACTCCCTCCTCTTCATTAGAGTTGCCCGAGGGAGCAGATTTGAGTTGAGTTTTGGACCCAGATCCTCTCTTCAGGGGCTGAGAGTCCAGTAAAAGCAGAAGGTGGAATAAAGCCCTCCCTCGGGCCTGTCTTCACCTCAGAGCCCACCAGCACCCTTTGACGTGACCAAAGGGACACTGCAAGCTGCGGGAAGGTGAGGGACTGGGGGGTTGGCCGGGGATTAGCCGCCAGGGGTAGCTGAGCTGTGTTAGGCTGCCTGCGTCTATGCAGCTCCTCCTGGCTGGGTTGCACTTTGCAGGTAAAGCAAGTACTTTTGGGCACACCCAGTGGTGCCCAAGGCTTACTCCTAGCACTGTGCTCAGGAATCACTCCTGGTGGGGCTAAGGGAACCGTACAAGGTGCTGAGGGTTGAGCCCGGGTCAGCTGCAAGCAAGGCAGATGCTCTACCCGCTGTGCTAAAACTCAGGCCCCTGGCAGAGTGTTTCTAAGCAGCAGCAGATTCGTGGTGACCCTGCCCTGAGCGCTATGTGTGGGGCTGTTTTCCAACAGTGTGAGTGTGTGTGTGTGTGTGTGTGTGTGCGTGCGCAAGCGTGCACCGCACCTCTGACTACAGGAGGAAGAAATGTGGTGTCCATGTGCGAGGGGCCCCGTGTGTGGGGGGCTCGCTTGGCTGGGATCCTCGCTTTTCTGCAGGGGTCTGGGACCCCATGAGCAGCTCCCCCAGGTGTGCCTATTTGGGGGTCTGTGTAAGGACGTACAGAGAGCAGATGCAGGAGCTGGTTCTGAGGAAGTAGTGACTGGCAGAGAGAAGGCACCACGGAGAGCTACAAGGGGGTTCCCCGGCACCAGACAGAAGGGTGTGGCTTTAGAGCACTCTGTAGGGAGTAAGGTGGGTCTCACAGATCCTGCATGGAAAGCCCCCATCTGTCCTTGTGAGGTTTGCTCAGAACCTGGGCAGCTGAAGAACCCCTGGCCAATGGAGCGACGGGCTGGGGAGAGGTCACAGCAGGCTGGAGTTCAGGCTGTGCAGACAGGGGCGCTGGTTTGATCTCCAGCATTGCCTGATTCCCTGAGCAACACTGGGCATGGCCCTGGGGGAGGGGCCAAGCCCCATCAGGAGTTGTCTCTGGTGACAAAACCAAACAAAACCAAAACAGGAAAGAATGGGAGAATGCCCCCTCCCCTCCAAGGTGTCCTAAACCCTCAAACCAGGAGGTGGATCGTGCTACAGATGAGGAAACTGAGGCAGAGATGCCTGCAACTAAGATCACCCACCAGGAGGCCCAGCAGCGCTGTGCCTGGCGGCCTCGCTCCAGTGCCCGCCCCCACCAGAACAGGCCTTCTCCATCTCCAGCGCATTTTTCTGACAGGGAGGCAATCCCCTCTGGGCGCCCCATCACCCCACTACACTATTTTCTGTTTGTCTTTGGGCCACACCCTATGATATTTAGGAAGCACCCCTGGCTCTGTGCTCAGGCCTCACTCCTGGAGGTGCTGGGGGTCCCTATGTGGTGTCGGGGGATGAACCCGGGTGAGCACTGCAAGGAAAGCTGCGCTCTCTCCCCAGCTGCCCTTCTTTCAGCTCTAGTTCCTGCCACATGCGGGCCCCCGGCTCCCGAGGTGGCTGAGAGGGTGCAGCGGAGACACCCAAGTGCACAGCGCACCCAGGGCTCCTGGGACACAGCCGCAAGGACGCCCTTCTCTCCCCGCGCCCAGGAAACGGTGGAACAACAACAAAGGCCTGGGCGCCTCCTGAAACCCCACTGGGCGCGCTCTGGCAGTAGGCCAGGCTGCAGGGGACCCGGTGGCTGCCGACTACAGGGTCCCCGTGGGGTGTCGCTCCTTGCACATTCTGGCGCCAAGCGCCCTCTCTGTGCCTGTCACCACTGGGAAGGAGCGGGGTATTCTGAGGAGGTAGGAGGGCACCGAGGAGCCTCAGCGTGGGGCAGGCACTGCAGAGCCAGCCATGCTCACTGCTACCCCGAAGCTATACGCTGTCACCAAGGGTCCCTGCTTCCCCGGGTGGCCAAAATGTCCTTGAGTGACTTGGAGGGTTGGGGACTGAGCCAGCCTCCCCTGCTGGGCACGGAGGCCTTGGCCGCCTCGCACGAGGCCTGCTCCTTCCTTAGGGGCCTCCAGGAGAAGGGGAGCTGCAACCACCTCGTGGGGGTGGGTGTCTTTGAGCCCTAATACCATCCTGTGCTCTCTAGGTTACCGGCTGAACCAGTGCTTTCTCACGGACAGCCGCCACCCCCACGAGCTGAGAGGTTTTCTTTTTTTTTTCTTTTATTAAAACACCGTGAGATAGTTACAAGCTTTCTTGCCTGAGTTACAATCACACAATGATCAAACACCCATCCCTCCACCAGTGCACATTCCCACCATCAATATCCCTGGTATACCCCCCTTTCCCACCCTCCCCCCGCCTCCATGACAAACAATATTCCCCATAATCTCTCTCTACTTTTGGGCACTATGGTGTGCAATGCAGCTACTGAGAGGTTGTCATGCTTGCTCCTTTATCTACTTTCAGCACACATCTCCCCTCCCGACTGACTCCTCCAACCATCATTCTCTTAGTGATCCTTCTCTATTCCAGCTGCCTTCTCCCCTTTGCTCATGAGGCAGGCATCCAGCTATGGAGCAGTCTTCCTGGCCCTTGTATCTACTGTCCTTGGGTGTCAGTCTCATGTTTTCTTATTTTATGCCCCACAAATGAGTGCAGTCCTTCTATATCTGTCCCTCTCTTTCTGACTCATTTTATCTGAGAGGTTTTCTTAAAAAACGAAAAAATCAGAGGAGATTCACAAAAGATTAAAAAGTCAGCAGAGCCCGAGCGGGGAAGGCACTTGATTTGCACATGACTACCCGGGTTTGATCCCCGGCACCCCACATGGACTCCCGAGTCCACTCAGAGTGATCCCTGAGCGCAGACAGGAGTTACTCCTGAGCCACTGCCAGGCGTGCCCAGAAACCCACTGAAGAAAATGAAAGTTAACATTGTAAAGTGTGGGGGTTCAGGGGCATATAGTACATTCCCCAAATCCCCACCTCTCTCTCTCTCTCTCTCTGTATGTGAATGTGTGTGTGTGTGTATGTGTGTGTGTGTGTGGTGCTGGGGGGCCTTATCTTGGAAGCGACCTGGAGTTGGCCATGCATGGTAAGCTCCTTGTACTCACTCTCCGTGCCCTCTGAAACATTTTCATTATCATTCGCCAAGGAAAACTTCCTCCCAAACCCCAATCCCGGTTGTGGGAACCCCGACCAATCTTTGCTCTGTTTCTCTGCACTGGCCTCTCCAGCTTCCTCTGTAGGTGGGACCCACGGGTTCCTGTGGGTTCGCCCTGACCACTGTTGGCTTCTCTGACTAAAGTTTTTTTCTGGCTGTCCTGCTGGAGTAGTTCGAGGACCATGTTCCGTCCCAGGGCTAATCCCATTGTTTGCAAAAAGCTCCTGTTTTTTCATTTGCCACATGATGAACTTTCGGGTTGTTTCCACCTATTGTAAATGATATGCGGGCTCTGTGTGTGTGTGTGTGTGTGTGTGTGTGTGTGTGTGTGTGTGTGTGTGTGTCGGGGAGTGGGAGAGCCAGTCATGTGGCAGGCCTGGTGGGAGAGGAGAGCGGGCAGGGTGCCTGCCTTGCAAGTGGCCGACCCGGGTTCAGTCCCTGGTACTCCGTATGGTCCCCAGAGCTGTCAGGAGGGCTCTCTGAGCGCAGAATCCAGGAGTGAGACCTGAGCACCACCAGGTGTGGTCCCAAAACCAAAACAAAAAGAGATTATGTGGAAGTTCTGGGTGTCAGGTTCCCAGGAGCCACACAGCCAGCTTCACGTGTCACATGAATTGCCACCAGCAAGTCCCACCTTCTCAGCACTTGCCTCCGATGCCACTGACTAGGGTTCAATCCCTAATATTGTCCTCTGAGCACCCCCACGAGTGACCCCTGAGTGCACAGAGCTAGGAGTAATTAAACCCTGAATGCCAGCAGGTGTGGCCCCCCAAAGCAAAATAAGAATAAATAAAATGTTAAACATATCCTATTTTAGGAGATTAATACCCAAGAATAGCCGAGATCAGTACCAGGAGGATTACTCCATGGCTTAGAGGCCAGCCGGGAATTCTAGGGGAAAGGGCAGCTCAGATAGAGAAGGGAGCACCAATTAAAGGGTGTTTGGAGGATCCTCCCAGGAGGGGAGATGCATGTTGAAAGTAGACTATGGATCGAACATGATTGCCACTCAGTGCCTCTTTTGCAGACTACAAGACCCAAAAGGAGAGGGAGAACAAAAGGGAATGCCTTGCCACAGAGGCAGGGTGGGATGGGGGGGTGGGGTGGGTGTGGGAGGGATACTGGGATCCATGGTGGTGGAAAATGGGCACTGGTGGAGGGATGGGTATTTGATCATTGTATAATCGAAACCCAAGCACAAAAATTTGTAAATCTACAAATGTACCTCATGGTGTTTCACTAATAAAAAAAAAAATCCTATTTTTCCGCCTCTTCTCCAACACTTGTTTCCTTGTGCCTTCCTCTCTCTCTCTCTCTCTCTCTCTCTCTCTCTCTCTCTCTCTCTCTGGGTCTCCTCCACCGAGCCACATTCCGGGCCAGCTGATGTTCTGGAAGAACCTTCTTAAGAGTCGTGCAGCAGCACCCGTGTCACTAGCCAATCCTGCACACGTCAGTGCATCCTGCTGGCCCTGGTGCCCAAGTCCCCCAATCATTCAAAGAGCTTCCGGACTGGTTTGAAACCCTCATCCTGGGAGAACTGCCCCCGACACATCTTTCTGCGTGTCCTAGGTGCCTGGGGGCTTGCCGAGGGCAGGGCTATGTGACCCCAGGTCTGTGCCTCTGTGACTTGCACTGTGTACCCCACCGTGTACCCTGAACACAGCCTCTGTGCTGGGAGATGCCCCATTGCCAGCCGAGAGCCCCTTTGGGCTCAGCAGCGCCCAGGACAAGGGAGGCTGGTGCTGAGCCCAGTCCCGCTGTTACTTTGTATCAACAGACATTACTGCGCGCTGCCTCGCCAGGTGGAGGTAACCAGCTTCGGGTCAGCGACCCGAAGGGATAAGAGGCCAGAGAGGATAACTGGCCTCCTATCAGATAGGGCTGTGGCCTTTGGCTGGGCCGGCCAGGGAGCCTGGTGGTTTTCTCTTCCGTGGCCTTGTCCAGGGGGCAGGGACAGCGTTGGCGTCTGGGCCCTGCCTCTGGACTTTGCGCTCTGGAAAGCGTTCCTTTACCCAGAATCGGGATTCTATTCATCCTCTCTTCAGGACCCCCCGCCCCCGTGTTGGCGGACACGGAACTCCTAGGAGAACGGGAAACAAACAGGCCAGGTCTGAGGGACGCTGGGCTGACCCTGGGGGGCGGGGGCGGGGGTCTCGGGTCCACGCTGGGCGGCGGCGCTTGCGGAGCGGCTGCTTCCCCGCGCTGCGCCTCTGGGACACCTGCAGGGGGTGGGGAGCGTGTGTGGCCCCCGCCGGGGTCCCGCGGGCGGGGCAGGGCGCGCCTACCTTGCCGTACTTCTTCAGCTTCTGCCGGTAGCGCCTCCGGGGCTTGCCCGCGGGCGCCGGCTCGTCCAGCGGCTCGTAGCGCTCCGGCCGCGCGGCCAGAGGCAGCCCCCGCGCGCCGCGCGCCCCCCGGCCAGCCGCGCCCGCCGCCTCGTCCCCGCACTCGGCCAGCTCCAGGATCGCCGCCTCGTCCTCGGCCGGGCCGCGGCCCCGGAGCCTGCGCGCCCCGCCGCGCAGCCGGGCGCCCACCGTCATGCTGCCGCCGCGTCTCCCGCCGGCCGCCGGGCTGGACCGGCCACCTCTGCCCGCCCCGCCCGCCCCGCGCCAGCCGCACCCGCGCCCGCCCCGCGCCCGCCCGAGGGGAGGTGGCGGTGGGGGCTGTGCGCGGCGCCCCCTGGCGGCGGGGCCTCGGCGGGGCCGTAGCACCTGCAGCCCGGCGGGGCCAGGGGAGTCAGCGAGGGCGCGGTGACCTCGCAGGGCGCGTCCTGCAAACCGTGATGCCCAGGAGGGGGCTGGGGGGAGGGAGAGAGAGACAGAGACAGACAGACAGTGACAGAGAGGGACGGAGAGACAGAGAGACCGACAGTGACAGAGACACAGAGAGACAGACACAGACAGAGCGAGTGACAGAGACACACAGAGAAAGACAGACACAGAGACAGAGAGAGTGACGGAGACAGAGAGAGGCAGAGACACAGAGAGAGACACAGAGAGACAGACCGACGACAGAGAGGAAAAGTGCCAGGCGGGGGCAGGAGGGAAATTGGGGACACTGGTGCTGGGAAATGTACACTGGCGAAGAGGTGGGTTTGGGAACATTGTATGACTGTAACCCAATCACAGACAACCTTATAACTGTATCTCATGGTGATTCAATAATTAATAAAATATATTTGCACTGAAGTGGGGAATTTTTTTTTTTAAAGAAGTAAATGAACCCTCCAGTGACGTGATTTTATTGGTCCAACTCCAGTTGGCTGAGATGGTGATGATGACGGTGAGGGCGTTATTCGCAGCTGGGAACACTTTATTTCCATAGTTTGAGCAGAAACATCAGAGCGCTGCCTCGGTTTCTTCTGGGAGCAAAACCCCTCCCCCTCCCTCTCATGATAGAGTGAAGTTGTGCTCCACTTAGCGGTAGGGTTTCTGCAGTGAGAAGGAGCAAACTAGGTAAAATGCAGCGTAGTCGCGGGACAGATAGAGGAGAGGGAGTCGCTGCGGCTAACGCTGACCAGTGCCCTGTCCATGCGTTGCTTCTCAGAGGCACGAGCTCTGCAGAGAGCACCGCCCGGTCCCAGCTGCTGCCCGGGCTGCCCACGGGAGCGGGCCAGACTGCACGCGCGGGGCGGACCTCTGCTTGTCCCACACCCCACACTCCAGCCAGCACTGCCCGGGCAAAGTCTTCTCTCTCGCTGTGCCTGGCCGGCCGGGATGACCTGGGGGCGGAGGCCGGAGGCTCACCTCTGCTAGGCTTCAGCAGGGACCCGGCACCCACCTTGTGGATGGTCGGGAAGCGCGCGTGCTTCGATTTTCGGGCTGCTCCGAGCGGCTGTGCTTCTCCCTGGATCTGCGCGGCACCGCGGGTCCTGCCCCGTCGCGGGCTCGCTCTACCTGTCGCCGGATTCTGATCAACTTCGCAGTGCAACAGCTCCCCCTGAAAAGAATTCTTTAGCAACACTAAAGAGTTTTGTTTTCTTGGCTTAGATGACTCAAAAGCCATGAAGAATTTGGAATCGACTGAGTTATGGGCACTTAAACAATAATGGAGGCAGAAAACTAAATGTGATAGAAAAATGAGGTCTGAATTAGGACTTTATGGGCCAAAAGAAAATTTCTGGGAACTCTTCCCCCAAATAAAGCACATTTGTATTCTCCCTTGCCAATGGCAAGCCATTCTAATATATAGAGATAGATATGTATTACACACACACACACATATAAATTTATAGGTATTTATCATTTGTTTTTATCCAAGTAGATTAAGATCCCATAATGACTGACTTTATAATCAATTAACATGAAAAACTGCTTTGTCGGGGCTGGACCCATAGCACAGTGGGTAGGGTGTTTGCCTTGCATGTGACTGGCCTGGGTTTGATTCCCAGCATCCCATATGGTCCACTGAGCACTGCCAGGAGTAATTCCTGAGTGCATGAGCCAGGAGTAACCCCTGTGCATCGCTGGGTGTGACCCAAAAAGCAAACAAACAAACAAACAAACAAAAACACCCTGCTTTGTCTCATACATTGTAAGAATATGTTAATTATTATTTAATTGTTGTAACGCAAATGTTACCATTAAAAGTATGTCAGGGTTGGGATGTGGCTTGTGGTAGAACATATGCCCAGCCTCAGTGAGGTCCTGAATTTTATTTCAGCTCCTGATTCCCGGAGCATTTTGGGAAATTATTACAGCACCCCCCACCCCCAAGAATTCATGGATAAAAGGCAAAGGAAAATAAAAGCAAACTATAATTTATGCCTGTCGCTTCAAATGGCCAAGCTTAGATACGCAGTGCTGTAGTGGTCAGAAGAGAAAGCTAAATGTCCTACTGAACAGTGTAGGTTCTAATGGGGCTGTCCAGGTTTGCGCTGAATGTTTATTTCTCAGCCTTGCCGTGTTTACCGCTGTGCGTTGGATCACTGGTGGTGAGTCAGAGATTAAAGGAAATCTGTGTTCAGTCCTATCTGTTAACACTTAGTAAAAACTGTTTTTATTTTTTCTTTTGTGTTGGGGCCATACCAGGCTGTGTTCAGGACTTACTCCTGACTCTGCTCAGGGATCACTCCTGGACGGCCTCAGGGGACTCGATGTATGTTGGGGTCAAACCTACCTGCTGTACTATCTCTCCAGCCTGTCAAGACTGTTTTATGTCTCCCCTTCCTTTTTTTCGTTGGCCCCCATTCTGCATTTTTTATTCCTCCTTCCCCACTTCATCTCCCCCTCGCCTCCCACATCCCTCTACCCTTACTCTCTTCCCTTTGTCTAACCTGTAAGTGTCCACCAGCTGATTTCCATTTTGTTTTGTCTGTACTCAGTTTCATCTGCTCACAGTGCTCACAGTGCTCACGAGGCTGTGATCACCCAATATTTGCCTTTTCCTTCTGACTAATCAAGATTCACATAATCCCGCTAAGAGCCTTCCATTCTGCTGCAAATGACAAACTCTTCTCTTTTGGAGAGTAAGAACACAGCTCTTTGCTTTTTGGTTTGGAAGTCACATCCAGCAAAGCTCAGGGGTTACTCCTGGTTCTGTGCTCAGCAGTCATTCCACTGTTGCTTGGGAACATCAGATGCAGTAAAGCAGCCACATGCTAGGCAAGTGCCTTATTTCTTGCACTCTCTCTCAGGTCCCAACTTTCTTATTTAAAATAAAATTGCTGAGGGGCAAGGCTGATAGTAGGGATATTGTAGATAACGCTGCAATAAACATCGGGGTGAATAAAACGTCTCCTGTCAATGGTTTCAATTTCATCTTGTGGATGAAAATTTCATTTTTGTGGATGCTCCATCTTATTTCCCACAATCCTTACCCAATGGACATTCCCATTTTCCACTGTTTTGAAGACTGAAAAAAACTCATAAAACTGAAAACCTTTTGCTAGTGTCTGAATATAATCACAGAGTAGGAAGTAGTGAAATTAGTGGGCTCCTTGGTTGGCTTATGTGAGATGGAGAGGAGACTGGCGGACACTTTCTCCCAATCTGCCTGTCACCCCAGGGCCAGCCCCATTAGGTGGCCATCAAGCCACACCTCATGCTCGTTTACCCTTCACGCTCGAGAGGGAATGTGGGCTTCTCCAGTGACAGAAAGAGCTCCAGAACACATCTCAAGAGGGGAGATGCAGGCGACATGTGTGCTCAGGCACCTGGTATATCGGCTACATGGGCACAGCAGTGTACGGGCTCTGGCACTTCCTTTGTTCAACTTGGCTTTATAGGGTTTTTTCCAAGCTGCCCCATGTGGGGATTCTAGCTAGGTAAGAGTCTGTTGCTAGGGAGGTTGCCAAGGGGGTAGAGCTGGGAACGGTTGATGTCTTTGACATTCTTTTCCTGGCCTTTATTCCACTGGAGCATCTCTTGGAGGGGGTCTGGGTCTCTTGGTGCCAGGTGAGTCTTATAAGGTCTCTGAGCTCGCAAGGTGGCTTTAGTTTTATTACTTGGGGCTATTGGTCTTATTACTTCCTAAGAATTCCATTGCGCAGGGGGCCCTTTCCTATCTACATGTCTACATCAGTAGGAGTAAAATCCTAAACATGCTGGAAGCGAACCCATCCAACATGAAAATGAACAGAAAGAGACTGGAAAAACAGTACAGGCAGCTTACTTGTTTGATTCCCCACGTCTCATATGCTCCCCTAACCCCACCAGGAGTGATCCTTAAGCACTAAGCCAGAAGGAAGCCAGACTAACACTTAGGTGTGCCCCTCAAACAAAACAGTAAAAACAACAAATATGTGTGTGTTTTGGGAAGTCTCCATGGCCCACACAATTGCTTTGGCTGCCTGGGGTCATTTGCTCACCAAATCAGAACAAATGATTACTAGTAATTAAAAACTCAAGGGGTCAAGATATGAAAGTCCAACAGTTCATCACATTTTTTGGGCGGGAGGGGGTCAAAACGGGCGATGCTCAGGGGTTACTACTGGCTCTGCACTCAGGAACTTCTGGCGGTGCTGCAGAGACCTTATGGGATGCTGGGGATCGAATGAACCTGGGTTTGTTGCATGCAAGGCAAACAAACACACTCTCTGCTGTACTATCTCTCCAGTCCCCTCTTCAGATTTTCAAAGAGGAAAAAATCATGGGCTCTAAAAATGGTATGACGGTACATGAAGTTTATTTTGGGTGCCGTTTTAATATCTTTGCATTGGGACCTTGCAGGACTGACATAACGTGAGAAGGATGCTGAGTACCTGAGATCTGCATTTGCATACGAAGGGCACACTGGGAGTGCTGCTTAGACCTTGCAGAGACACTCAAGCAAGCAGCCTGAGCAAAGTGAAAAGGTGCAAACCCCAGCTGAAGTAGACAGGGAAGTTAGCAGCAAATTCATAGGGTCGACTGAAGAATTGACACATGATGTTAAAATTAAATGGGGGGACCTAGGCCAGAGGACCCGAGGGCGTGCAGGGGGGTGACCACTGTGTGGCTGACCCACAGGTTCCCACAGGTTCCCACAGGTTCCCACAGGTTCTGTGGCCAATGGGTCACAGAAGGCAGCGCCGCAACTGGGGAAGGGCGTCTCTGCCCTCTAGTGGTTTTCTTTTGTAATAACAGAGATGATTCT